AACCGATGTCAGTGGCGTTCATTTTGTTGTCAGTTTCTATCCAGACCGCCTGAGTTATTGTCTGGAGGTGTAAGCATCTCGGAATGATTGTGGTAAGTTAGCACTAAGTCCCTTCCCCGTCAACCTTCACTCTTTTCTTTACAATGAGGTTTTCAAATAAATCATTGTTGTACGTCAGTGAAGCATCGGTATTGAACACTGATGTCACGCTGTCGATGATGATGATGATGACTACCAGGTTGCTCAAGCCTAGATAAGAGAAGTCGGACTCGAACCACAAATCTCCCGATCAGTAATTTCGTGCTTTAACCACTGAGCCATCTCGCCCCTCTGATCGGATACCGTTGCTAGTCGCCTCTGCGCGCTTCATTTGGCAACGTCTATGGGACGTATTCGAGAAAGGTTCATCGCACTGTTCATCGCACCCTGTTTATTGTGTCTGCTAATGCCCCAACTGACTGTCTCTGGATCTGCCGAAAGTAGTTTCTATGACACTCCACGTGCTCTTTTACCATGGGCTAAAAGTTCAGGCATCGTTGTGGTTGGTATTGACATTAACGACCAAGTAGATGGTCACTTTGGATCGGATACGAAACATAGGGACAACAAAAACCGTCTACTTCAGATGTGTGCTGATCACAGACTGTTCCTCTTCACTGTCAATTTCATGAAAAGCGGAAATCTCTTGAAGACTTAGTGCCCGCCATCACCTGTGGTGAAGGTCGATTACTGCCTGCCGATTCTCCGTAAACTCCGACCGTGCACTCGTGCGCTGCTGCTTTTCATTGTGCTTTTCAGATGTACACAAAACGCGCATAACTCGCTAAATCGTTAAAGTGCTCGTGGGCCCAGAAATCCAACGAAACTTTCAGAACGGGCTCATCGAATGCCTACCTAACGGTCGGATGTTACATGTTACGGGCCACTGGGAAGAGAGATCTACATCGCTGGAAATGCTGTTTGCGGTACAACCAGCCAACCTCAATCACTGATAGAACTGTGGCTTTGCTGGAATCCTGGCGACAGATACCTCCTGGCCACAACAAAACTTAACCTGTTGCATCACCGCACACCAGTTAAAACTGAGTGTCCGTGAAGACCGCGAAGCTTGGTGGACCCGGAAGGCCGAAGAAATGGAACATGCGGAAAATGCCAGAAACGTCCTTGGTCTGTTCCACTTGATTCGTTCGACTGGTCCTCGGAAGCCTCTTGACAGCGAAACTATCAGGGAGCCGAATGGCTCTGATATCCGGCAAAGGAGAACGTCTGGACCGCTAGGCACAATGCTTTGGACAACAATTCCTCTGGCTGCCGGCTACCTTTATTCCAGAGTGCCGGCCAGTTTGACTGGGAACATGAACATGAAACCTTCAGCCTCAGAAGTATATCTCTACTCAAACGTCAAGTGTTTCCGGCTCTGACGACCTTCTACCTGCTTTGTTCGGGGATGACGGTGAATCCCACAGTCAATGCTTGTGTAGCTTGTGGCTATCTAAGAGAAAGGGACCATTCGAGATAACTGGGATGAGTTGACAGTAGTGCCCATCTTCAAGAAGAGTACTCCCAGTGAGAATGGCAACCACAGAGGTATTAGTTTGATTCGCGTTGTTACAAGGCTTTTAAGCTCTTACGGTGGCATGCGAATCCTTGCGCCGTGAGCATAGAGCGCGGTCTCGAAAGGATGAAAACTGCGTCGACCATATCTTCACATTCTGTTCGGCATTAGAGCTACGCCATATGCACAGACTACCCACAATCTTGTTCCTTCACTTCAAGGTTGCGTTCGATTCTGTCGATCGGTGAATGCTGTCAACCACACTTGCTCAACGGAGTATGCCCCAGAGTTTGTGAACACGATTCGGCCTCTATATTCGCATACTTCTGGACGTGTGAAAGTGAAGGATGAGCTCTCCAAAATATTCCCTACCAAAAGTGGTGTCCGACAAGGATGTCGACGCTCTCTATTCTTTCCGAACTTTGTCATTGGTGATATAATGGAGCGATACTTGAAGGTCTTCAAAACCCGGTGTTCAAACTGTTGCTGGTGAGAACCTTGTCAAGACATGGTCCTCATCTTTGAAGACGAAACCGCAGCGCAAGCCCTGTTGAATAAACTGACCACCATCATACCACCTTTCGGCATGCGCCTAGCACCCTTAAAGTGCAATCATGCTTTGTAATGTGCAGTCATTGAACAGTTCCCTTACAATTAAAGGAGAATCTTCGGAGGTTGTGTGGAATTCTGCATACCGTGGGAAATGTATTATCTCTGACGGATGTGCCTGACGAATTCATTGCACGATTCTCTAAGGCCCGTATCACTTTTGATGATTTGCTTTGCGTGGGGCGTCAAAAGTCATATCATTGTGTGCTAAGGGTCGCGTGTGTCAGGCTACAGTAATAGCTGTGCTGTATGGCTGTGAAACATGGTCTCTGTGGACAGATGATTTGAAGTGTCTTCAGGTCCTTAAACACCTATGCCTCAAGCGTTGCCGGTGTGGATGGTGTCAGTGAATCCGTGACAAGGTAGTTGGAAAGCGGGTATTTCTCATGCAACAGGTACTTCAATCGCGGAAAGCATCCAACACCATTAACTGCGGTGGCTCAGCCACCACTATGTACGCCGAAACACCGCCCGCCGAGACAAGTGATGTCCTCTGGGCACCTTCGGGATGGCGCAAACCGAGAGATGGACAACGTATGACTTGGCAGACGGGTACAAAAGAGATTACAAAGAGTTTGGATGTTGTTGATGCGGTACGCCTTCCCGTGACCCCACCTGTGCTTGGCTGGAAACATTGCAAGAAACGGCGGCTGATCGATGTCAGTAGCGTTCGCGTTTCTTTCCAGACTGTCTGATTGAGCACTTTGAGATGTGGGAACCTCAGATTGCTTGCGACAGGCCACCACCAAGTCCTCTTAGTCACCCTCTCTTCTTGTGATTCTAGAGCTTCAAAATATAATTAGATAAAAATTGCGGGTATAAGGGCATGAACCATCAGTGTCAACACTGATGTAACTGACTCTGGTGATGATGATGAATAGATAGAAATTGTTCAGCTGTAACACCCTTCCGGTGCCTAGCTGCCATACCACTTGAAGGAAGCACGAGGGCTGAGATACTGCCAGGTTGCCCAAGCCTAGACAGGGGAAGTCGAGTGGCGGAGGTCGGATTCGAACCACGGACCTTCCGGTCAGTAAATTCGCGCTCTAACCACTTGGGCCATCTCGCCCATCTCCTGACCCTCAAGGTTGTAGTTTGTAATAAATGTGGCACTGCCTTGCTGTCTAGGCATTTGAGTTAAAAACTTCGGATAGGGGCCCTAATAATCCTCTTGTGTAGGTGTGTCCTGAGGGTATTGCAGCCCGCGTGCAACCATGGGCGCTAAAAATATTGTCATGCATCATCGGCCGTTGCGTTGAACCATTAATCGGCTCGTCTCTCTTGCTGCTTGTAACAGCGCGGGCAAGCTGAAATTAGCGACCGCTGACATCTCACTTGCACGTTAACGTATTCTTCCTTCCATCTTACCCTTTTCCAATGTGAATAACCTCTCTGTGCAGCTCCTGACACTAGGAGTCAGGCTCTACTGCAGCCGCTGTGCGTCCATCCCCAGTAACAACAATAAACACATCCTCTGTTTTAAGTCTGAGCTGTGAGGCAGCGGTTGTTAGGTTTTCTTTCAGGGACATTTCCCGGAGCCAGTGACTCAAATATCTGACCCGCTTGGTTGCAGGGCGCTGGCTTACCTCGAAGGTACATGGAGTAAGACGTAGCTCTCTGACTCCTAATTCGGCCGCGCGCAGCCTTTTGAGCTACACCAGACTCAGGTTTTCGAAGTATTTTACTCGTATTGAATAATGAGGCGGCGATCACGATCAACCGTAAGGAGATCGGGGTAGTGCGGCTTTTACGGTTGACCTTTTCTAACTCGTCCTCCCTCAATTGGAGGCAGTATCTTTGCTTCCGTAAATATGGACCTACTGGTAGTCTGAAGGAGACGTCTTACAACCCTCACATTCCTATCGCAGAGGACAGTGAGACTATACCTCCCGACCGCCTGGTAATACGATTAATTGCAGTACGGGGGCTCGTTGTTTTTCATCTGTTGGTTCTCCGTGGCCTTCCT